ATCAACATTTGAACAAGATTTTTTTAAGCTGTTAAATAATAGTATTTTTGGAAAAACTCTTGAAGACCCAGAAAAACGATTGGACGTAAAATTAGTTAGTCAGTGGGTGGATAGTGAAAATATAACGAAAAAACAATTAAGTGCTGAACAATTAATAGCCAGACCAAATTATCATAGTGCAACTGTTTTCTCCGAGAATTTTGTTGCAGTTCAAATGAAGCCAGAGTCAATAATTTTAGATAAACCTATTCGTTTCTTAGGTTTTCACGCACATCACTCATTAAATAAAACTAGTTTTTACGGGTTAATGCACGAAAACTTTATTTATTTATTGACGTTTCGTAGCCTTTACAGGCTACGTCGTCAGAATAAAACTTTTATTTAATATGTCGAGCTACCTTCGAAAGACTTTTATTGAGCGTTTGGTTATTTCATTGTTCGATTTTTAAGTTTTATTGTCTATGTATGAATTTATTATTTAATTTACTTAATAAAGTATTTTATTTAAAATTCTTGTTTGCAATTTTGAGTTTATTTATTTGACCCTAGTTAGTTTACGGTAGTTACCGTAAACTACCACCGGTTATAATTTCCAATTTTCACCGGTTCCAAAATTGGGAGACCTTCCTGAGAAGAACCGGCGAAACAAACTCAAGAGAGGCTTTCTATCTCCTTCTTATGTTAAATTATGCAAACAAAAAGAACTAATAGTATCTGATGGTCTTGCAGTGTGTGCTCGGGGTTGGGATTTTATCTCCTGTATAATAGGTTCCCAAGCTGGTGGTATATACCAACCATCTTCCCTATTGAAATTTGGATATTTTTTAATCTCAATAGCCTCGCGCATCATTCGAGGAACGAACCGCCGTTCAGCTGCAAGGATCTGTGGTCTGTCAAATCTTTCTTCTTCTGGTTCTTCTCAGGAAGGTCTCCCAATTTTGGAACCGGTGGTAGTTTACGGTAGTTAGGGTCAAATAAATAAACTCAAAATTGCAAACAAGAATTTTAAATAAAATACTTTATTAAGTAAATTAAATAATAAATTCATACATAGACAATAAAACTTAAAAATCGAACAATGAAATAACCAAACGCTCAATAAAAGTCTTTCGAAGGTAGCTCGACAAATTAAATAAAAGTTTTATTCTGACGACGTAGCCTGTAAAGGCTACGAAACGTCAATAAATAAATAAAGTTTTCGTGCATTAACCCGTAAAAACTAGTTTTATTTAGATAAACCTATTTACATTGGTTTTACAGTTTTGGAAATTTCCAAAAGTCACATGTACAATTTACATTATTCTGTTATGAAACCCTTCTATGGATGCAATTTGAAGCTTTGTTACACAGATACAGATAGTTTTCTTTACTCCATACAGACCAATGACATTTATAAAGATTTGAAGTTTAGATTACAGTCTTATTTGTGTTTACAGGTGAGCTAATGTGTGCCTACAAAGTAAAACACATGTTGGAGTTGTTACTCGTATGATGCAATAAATAATGAACGTTGAACGAGCGTTAATATGCAAGTATGCAAATAAAATGTAGTGGTATGGTCATAGTGTACAGACTGTAGCGTTTTATGAAATAGCAATTTGTTACAATCTGTTAATTAAAGTTACGAAAATGAATCGCTTTTTATTCAGAATTTGAATAACATAAATCAATTAGTAGGTATATCCATTAAATTACTTATGTTTACTTAAAAATATGAATGAAAATTGGTGAATATTTGATATATATTATACATTTACTTAATTTTTTTAATTATTTATGTCGTCACTCACACTTAAGTGAGAGCCGTTCCTAAAATATACTTATATGTGCTGCATCTACCTCTCATCTTTGCAGTTCAAACTCTATTCTGCTACACTAGAGAATACTCCAATTCGAGCGAAAAAGCCGCTACACGCTATTCTCTTGATACGTGGACCAACCTTAGTTACACTTACATTATAGTCAAGGAGTCGTATACGTATTTAAAAGAATTGTAATTAATTTTATATTTCTTCGTACCAAATTCGTTAATTATGAAAAATAATAAAATGTACTTTTGATGCATTATTGTTATGACAAAAACATATCGCAGTTATTCTTTAATACTAGTAAGGGCATCATTTATACAGTTGCACAAAGACATGCTATCGTCGAATTTCAACAACATTTCTTGTTTCTTTAATTAAGTAGTCATGCTACTTATATGAACTCAGATAAGAGTTCCGGTGTATTTTTGGCAAAGTCAATATTTTTCATAACACAGAAATATAAAACTCGTTACGTTTTCCATTCAGATTTGGCAGCAGGACCTTGAACTATGCTTGAAGTCGAATAGAATGAATAAAAACAATACACATGGAAGATAAAATTACTAAGTTTAGATTTGAGATTTATTATTTATCTTTATATTGATAACAATAACTATTTTATTTGATATATACATGCAGATATTGCCATCTGATAATTAAATATAACAGCAGTAATCCACCCATCCTCACCATGCTGGCCCGAACGCAATCCCCTACCGAGTGGAAACTTACCTACAACATCACCAAAATTTTATTTTATTTTAGTGTGAAGTCTTTATGTGAAATTACTTCCCCAGTCGGGGGTTCCAATTCAAGCGGGAAATCCGCTATGCACTACTACCACTTAAAAGCTGACTGTACTAATTCCAACCGGACGTGGACGTGTACCTATTGTAAATTGATACATTTGTTTTTCACAAAATTTATTTTGTGCAATTTTCGCAATGCAAATTAATAATTGCTTTACATTTTATTTACGTCTGTTATTAATTTTCAACAAAAATGTTGACCATTTCATTTGCTTATCATGCAATATTTTGAAATAAATTGAGGTTTTCCAATCAAGACACCTTTATTACAACTTTAGCACGGCTCCGTTGTGACCATCACCTAGTGTTTTAATTGATACCACGAGGATTCATTGAGTTGAAATCATGTTCGTAAGTTTTTTAAATACATTATTTTATTTCTGTATATTAATTGTATTTGTTAATTTACCGTGTAACTCTTTTATTCTCAGGTCGGATATTGAATATTACAACTCCAGCCTGCCGCTAAGTCACAATTTATCATCAAAAAGAACATTGATTTTGAAGACGAGGAAATTAACAAACGGTATGATGTCTTTTGTGTAGTGGTTACTCTTAGAAAACGTTTACATTTAATAAGTTGGAAAATCTTTTTAACTTTAATAATAAAACATTATTTTTTATTTACTCTTTGATATGTTTTGTATTATAAATCCATGACTTTCACTTATAATTATCCCACTAATAAAACATGTTTTTAATAAGTGCTTTGTATTTTTTGTGTACTACAGACCAGACCAGCGATCACGAAAAACAAACAAGAGATTGGTGTACGAGTCTGGCGAAGAAGGCTTGAATAAACAGTAAGTTTCGTGATTTGATCTTTTGCAACCTGTAAGTACTTCAGATACAGAAATGTATACTAACCTTTCTATTTTTAATTGCAGATCAGATCAGCAAGTTCGAAAGGTGACCAAGAAACTAGTATACGAGTTTGATGAGGAAGAATTACTGATACGGTAAGTTTTAAAGATATATTTGACATTGATTTATCTAATAAGATTAGGCAATTTATTTATATAAAATGTCAAGTATGTCGATTTTTGAATTTAAATGCTATTAACCAAGTGCAGATAAATATTGAGTGTATATCAACGGGCCCAATTCTGGCGTGCCAACTTATATCTAAAACTAACTAAAATTAGATATAGAGTTGTCAAATTCAATTTGGTATTATGTAATGACACACTAAGTTTAGGTTAGAGAATCGTGCTAGAATGGACACCAATGTAAAACCTTATTTATAATTAAAATAAAGCGATGCTGTTTAAAATGCGTTTATGTACACTCTCCATAAAAAAATTGTAACAATTTCAATGTTGTGCAAAACTCCCATATCATATTATAAATAAAAAACACGTTTTTTTAGATATATCGATTAAAATAATAATATACTGATTTACTTCTAGCCAATATATCATTATATTAATTTAAGGCCGACGACACCACATTACCACTTCTTGTGAACATTTTGTTTCGCCTTAGGTGTTAATAATTTAATTAATTCATTTTATTAATACATTACAACTCTTACATTTTTAAAACGTTGTTTGTTGTTTTGATTGAAATTTAAATAATTATTTTAGTATTTAGAAGTATGCCACACACACTGACTGTTTCAATAAGGACGCTAAAATAACAGATAAACATACAAAAATATGCCTGGATGATCCTTAATAGTTTATTTCAACATTATATAATATGTATATATGAAAATGCAAGTACTTACGTACGTCTTTAATACTATGGTGATATCATATTAAAATCCACGTTGCAAACGTTTATTTTTCAATAAAAAGGAAGAATTTAAATAAGATAAAGATTAAAAAATATAAATATTTATTATTGACTTAGAATATTAACACTTACATAGAAAGATTTACAACTTAACAGTAGGTACAATGTTATTTTATCATATTAATAGATATAAAAATATAACAACATTCAATAAGTGGCAAAATTTATGATCACAAATTCATCGGAGTACGGCAGACTCACTGAGACTCATAAAAGACACAATTTCTATAGAAATACAGTCTTCATTAATATAATTTTAAGGGACGTCACAAACAAAGATTACCTTTTTTATTAAATAAGAAATTATCAGAATGTAAACATCACGAAGAAAATTCGAAAGTCCGAGACAGAAGTTCCGAATTCAGTAGCATTTAGGGGCCGTTCAAGTATTACGTAAGCACTATAGGGGGGCAGGGGGGTCTTCGCTTTGCTTATTTTTGATGACATGGGGGGGGGGGGGGGTCGAGATAGTCATTACGTCAGCATTATGGATTCGGGTGCCATGCGGGTGGCGGGTGCGGGTGGACTGTTAATTGGAATAAATATATATATATATATATATATATATATATATATATATATATATATATATATATATATATATATATATACGGGTGTGACAAAAGTCCGAAATAAAACTTTAGGGTTTGGTTGTGTTCCTTGTATAGAATTACCAACGAAAGTTTGACACCTTTCAGACCACTTTTATTTTCTAATTAAATTAATAAAAATATCGTTTTACACCTGCCTATGACAACCCTATAAATGCGTACAATTACTACTACCTAAACAGACCCCCCTCTCTCCCCCAGGCGTCCCTGCGCCCCGCTCAGATAGGCATCTATCTGAGTCATCATCATCATCTGAGTGTGGCCGTAGCGTTACCGAATCTTCATTGCTTCTTCAAAAAGCTATCATAGGATAGCAGTACTCAATAGATGGCGCTCCTCGATGCTGCATAATGAGGGTGGTTAGGAAAATTTACGTCAACACTTGGTGCCACTGCGGCATGAGGTCTTTTGTACGAAGTTTTTAGCGCGAATTAATCCAACGAGCATTTAAATTGATCCATATACTATGACGTCATACGTGATTTGACGGATGAGTAGACCTTTCGCCTCAGTGCCACCACCTGGCGCCCGTCAATGCAGAAAACCCTCATTTTATGTTTACGATACTCGTCCTTCAACCATAGAGGTATAAGAATATCGTAGGGGAGATATAGGCTCTACTACAAGTGGAAATGTCGCTCTAATAAAAAGAGAAAGAAGATGAGAGACCGCTAGCTTTCTCTCTCTAAACGCGCATGCGCATTGGCAACCGTAAGCATCTTACTATTTCGATGTGATGCTTGGACCAACTATTAGGCAGACGACTGCGCATGCGTCACTAGAGAGAGAGATAGCTAGCGGTCTCTCATCTTCTTTCTCTTTCTACTAGACGGACACTTTTATAGCCGCCTTCCCCACTCTATTCTTATACCTATGTGCCTTCAACGCTCTTATGATACAATATAACCCAGTCACTTATACAGTACAACTACACTTATACAGTATACAATTCTCTAATTTTCTTAAAATATTTGCATGAAGTTTTAACTTTTTATAAAAACAGTTATTTTTAATGATTAATAATAATATCGATCATTTTTAGACACGTTACTAGTTCGAGGATCATTAAAAATAACTGTTTTTATAAACGGTTAAAACTTCATGCAAATATTTTAAGAAAATTAGAGAAGACTCCTTATATGACGTACTTCAACGCCCTTCAAGCTTTATTTGTATTTTTGTAACACCCTGTATATCAATAAGGAATAAGCTTAGACTAGTTTCGCCGTGTTTTGTTCATGCCACTCAAATACCATTTGTCATTCAATAGACAGAGACTAAACATAGAGTAACTAATCCAAGCGTCTTCGTTTATTAATAAGGTGGTTTAAGTATAGGCGTAATAGGTGAGATGTAGGCGAGTGTTAGGACCGCTTCTTGTCGTCGCCGCTGTAACCGACGGCAGCCGCGGCCGCACGCGGTCCCACGGATTCCCACGCTTGTCGGGTCACCTGCTCGAATAAATTATAGTTATAATCATCATCATCATCATCAGCCTAATAATGTCCCCACTGCTGGGGCACAGGCCTTCCTTATGAATGGAATAGGGAGATTGGGCCATGAACCACCACGCGGGCCTGTTAAGAATATTACTAGTCTGTGACTTACAGCACTATTTAACCTATGTATGTTATCTATGGTGTACTCTCTCTGCTAAATAAAATGGCTGACTGCAAAGTATGGTTTCCTTTTATTCTCCAAACTTAATAGGGCCCAGTGCGGATTGGTGGGTGCAAACGACTGCAGATGCAGCCGGGACCAACGGCATAACGTTCCTTCCGAAGCACGGAGGAGCTCGAGATAGTAAATTTTTGGTCACCCATCCAATGACCGACCGATGGTTATAATTAATCTCAAGAAAATTTACACACTCCTTGCAACCTAAGGCACCTCGCACTAGACGGCCACGACCACGACCAGTGGGCGCAACGACCAGGGGGTCTTTTGCATTGGTAATAAAAAAAAAATGAGCGTGAGCTATTTGAAAACCTTCGGCGGTCAGAAATAACATAATAAAATCGAAAACGTTAGCGTTTTCCAAAGCGTTTCCGTTAGGCGAATAGCCCCCAGGTTAAGTGTAGCTGACCGTTAGCAGCCAAGTGCGCAACGTTCGTATGGTTTCTTTAGCAAAACTGGTTGCGACCACTGGCCGTGGTCGTGGCCGTCTAGTGCGCGAGGTGCCTAAGAAACACCAGAAAGAATACGACATGGCCATTCTCAGAGTTTCGGTTGCATAACGATTGATGTATCTGTCAGGATAGCGAAAGGCGCTGGTTCGAATATAGCCTTACACGTGGACAGATAATTTTACTTGACACTAGTGTCGGCTCTGGCAAGATTTTCTAAATCTAAACTTAAATTTGACAACAGTGTTTCCTTGTCATTCTCTATACAGAATGAAAAAGAGAGAATGATGTTAAATTTAGTTTTAAGTTTAGAGAATCACGCCAGAATCGACACCAATACTTAATCCACTCAGTGCAGAGGCCTTAGTACGAACTTTGTAAGCTACGTAATCGTATCGTCATCGTCAAATTTTGTATGGAACGAGCCAGTTTGTTCTTACGTCCGGTAGGGGCGCTTCTTAGTTTTCAGAGAAACTGACGATACGATTCGATTACGGAGTTGTCAAAATTAGTGCTAGTCTCAGGTATCACAGACTGAAATATATGACAAGCAGTTTATTACTTAAATTAGAAATGCAATAAAATCTAAACAACTTAAGCTAAGCAGCACTTGTACAGACAACCACATGCCAAGTTATCCACAACTGCTTAATTGAACTTAGTGATGTCCAAAATAAGAAAGAAAATTTGAGAATATTTTCCACTGCACTTTGTGGTAACTTGATCTGAAGTTCATCATCATCATCATCAGCCTATTAAAGTCCCCACTGCTGGGGCACAGGCCTTCCCTATGGATGGAATAGGGAGATTGGGCCATGACCCACCACGCGGGCCCAGTGCGGATTGGTGGGTGCTAACGACTGCAAATGCAGCCGGGACCAACGGCTTAACGTGCCTTCCGAAGCACGGAGGAGCTCGAGATAGTAAATTTTTGGCCACCCATCCAATGACCGACCACTGCGAAAGTTGCTTAACTTCAACGATCGCAGCCGAACGCGCTAGCCACCTGCGCCATCGAGCTCCTCGAAGTTATTTCACATTAAACTAAGGTCTACTGCAGAACTGAAGATAAGCTAACGTTGTTGTATAAAAGTAAGAGATAGATCTTACATAGTTTTTGACGGTACCCGCAGCCTCATCGATCTGTATCGCAAACTCCCTTAATCTGCCGGTAATCCTGAAATTAAATGAAAATCATAAAACATTGGAAAACATAACACCCAGTAACGCCCCCCCCCCCCCTATTTTTTTTATTACGCAGGTAAAAAATGCTATTTACAGACGACGGCGCCTTTAAGAGGCACACCGCCGAACGGACCTAACACCTGGCTCCCGCAAGTCTTACGAACCCCTTAGATTAAAACAAAAAGGGTAGATACGGTACGCTCATACTTGCATCAAACAAAAACTGATCCCACGGCAGCGCGAAAGGGACGGCGAGAATCGCGTCACTGCATTACCGACCCGAACGAAACAGCACGTTAAGTTTCAAAGACAGCGCGAACGAGATGGCGAGATCCGCGTCACTGCACTACCGACCAATCACGCGACCAGTGCTCGACGTCACTACCGAATAAGATTCAAAACAAACAGCAATTTTTATGAAAAAATAAATTTTATAGTACTTACGAATGAAAAGTGATGCCGTGGGTTTTATTTTTAGTTCTTGGGCAATTTGAGCGCTTTTTAAAAACACACTTAGGCATTGTTTTATCATATAAACACAAAATATTAGCAATATTTCTTTTTGGCGTTCACATGTACGTCGTTTGCATGTCAAGTTGTGACTAAAGCGATTAGGGTCTTGGACAACAATCGGTGCGGATCACTTTTGTGAGGCTAGTGCCGTATCTACCCTTTTTGTTTTAATCTAAGACGAACTCCCCAGTGGCTGCCCACCGAGGACCACGCAACTCTTACGGGCGCTTTACGGCATAATATCCGCACAAATTACATAGAGTTACGCGATAAAAAACGCGATATAATGTAAATTGTGGTGCTCAAGCTACGAGGACAGGTCTGGACATATTGGGTAAGCATTTCTTAGCATATTCCGATGACGAAACCACCCTCCCCGATGACATTCATGCTCGAGTGACCTAATGGCTGTAGTAGAAAACAACTCAACACTTACCAGCATGAGGTCATCTAAGGATCTCACCGCCCCAAGTCCGGTGACACTTTAGGCCAGTCCGGAGACGTTTAAGAAAATCACGCTAAGCTTCATTCGCTTAGTGCCGCGACTTGCGCTAACTTCAGGATCGCCATTAAGTTTGAATTTCACTACTCACCATACCTGCTTTAACACCTAAATGGCGCAAGTGGTTAGCATGTTCGGTCTACGATATTGGAAGTCAAGCAACTTTTGCAATGGCTGGTCATCGGATGAGTGACCAAAAAATTGTTATCTTGAGAATCTCCGTGCTTCGGAGGGGACGTTAAGCCGTTGGTCCTGGCTGCACCTGCAGTCGTTTTCCTTATACCAGCCATAGAGAAGGCTTGTGCCCCAGCAGTGGTGCCATTAATAGACTGATTATGCTACCTGCTGTAGCCCCACAGCGCTACTGACTCTGGACACCAGGTATCCCAGCAGTGAGAACATAATATGCTGATGATGCTTCCTGCTGTACACTCACAGCGTCACTGACACTGGAGACCAACCAGCCTATTCGCTAAGTTTTTTTAAAATATTACAGTGTATAAATAAAGAGAAAATTACATATCTTCGATGCTTTTCAGAACAAGTATTTTAGGGGCGTTTTAATAAAGCAGTAGTGTGTCATTTAATAGCTCGGTGATTAGCACTTCCATCTGTCAAAAGCATATAGCGAATAGGCCTACGGGTATCCCAGCAGTGGAGTACTAATATGCTAATGATGCTACCTGCTGTAGCCCCACAGCGCCAGCATGGCGGCGGCGGTGATGGCCAGGATCTGCCCCAGGGCCACTCCGGTCTGGATTCCCATGGCGCTACTGATACTGGACACAAGGTAGCCCAATAACGCCAGCGCCGCCAATACTAAAGGAGTGCCCGCCATTTTGAAGATGTTCTTTGCCTCGTTGTGAGCGGCTAACTGTTCGAATTGCTCTTCTAATTCCTATAATAAAAATTGTAATAAAGTATTTTGTTCTAAATGGATGGCTAATATGATATTATGAGCCATTGGTGTCGATTCTGGCACGATTCTCTAAACTCTATACAGAATGATAAGGAGAGCCTGATGTTTTTAGTCTTAAGTTTTGAGAATTATGCCAGAATCGACACCATTGTATTTTCGAACTCTAGTGATTTTTATTTGCGGATTTTTTTTTATTACTTGCAGAGCCAACTGACATTGATGTCGATTCTGGCATGATTCTCTAAAGCTAAACTTAAATTTGACAACAGTGCATCCCTGTCATTCTCTATACAGAATGAAAAGGAGAGACTGATGTTAAATTTAGTTTTAAGTTTAGAGAATCACGCTAGAATGGACACCAGTGTCCTGCAAGATAAAATTTTAAAAAATATCCTAAAACCCGATTCAGTGTCACCTGCCGGGTAGTTATAGACTTATAGTTACATTTTATTTATTTTTGAAGTGAAAACTTCTTTAGCGGCGTTGTACACTTTTTTTTTGTATGGGTAAAAAATGTTAAACTCGCGTCAGGTTAACCACGTGGGCTGATCGCATCATGACACACAATAAATTTGGAAAGGTTGTTGACTTTCAATATAGTGGACGAAACATAGTAATATTTTATTTTATCGTATTATAATAATAAGTCTCTATGTAGGACGTCCGCGTGGCAGCTTCATTGCGAAGGAAATGTATTTTTTTTACAATAGATGTCGCTAGGTGCGCTTAAATGTGATTCATGTAAGTTGATTTCTTTACATTAGATGTCGCTAAGTGCGCTTAAACGTGGTAAGTTGATTTTTCTTAGAGATAAACTTTTTTAATGTAATATAAATTGCCATGTTTGTGTACGATAGCGTAATAAATAAATATTGTATTCTACCACATACATGATAGTACTTTTAAACTGATAAATTAAAGCAATTCATGCAAAATTTATCCCTAACCATTCCAAAATATCAAAAATGTACAACGTTAATATTCAAGTTTTCACTTCTGCCGGCACTCCCGGAGTGCAATGCAACCCGTTTTTTTTGTATGTTTATCGCATCTTTCTTATTATGTAACTACTTCTTTCTTTTTTTTTCAATCAAAATGTTCTGGAAGACTTAGAAAAGTTAAAGATGTTTTTGAAGACAAAGGTAACATTTACATTGGTGAGCTGCTCCGTATAAACACCAGCCAGTTCCTCCCCTCCCATCTTCTTCCTTGCGTGGAAGGCATGCAGCGCCTTGTCCCTCGCCCGCGCGTGCTCCCTCTGCAGCGCGTCGGGCGGCAGGTATGGGCGGGTGCCGCCGCATATCTCCTCCATGAGGGCGGAGTATACTTCGCGCGCTTCCGCCACCGCTGATAGGTTGTTGGCTTCGGCTGTCGCCTGTTAAATAACCTGTTTATTGAATATGTTTTCACGAGCACCCTTCATGCGTCAGAAATTACTTTTTAGTTTTGGTTCTGGAAACTGTAAAAGAAACAACAACCAAAACCTGACGTATACTCGACTCGTAGGTAAATATTTGTAATAAAATACTTTTGAAACAAAGTGTGATTAATTAACTTATTATATTATTCATGACACAGTAAATTAATAGCACTTTATTCAGAAAATGTTTAAATAAATGTATGAAATAGACATTTTTTTTTATTTAAATCGGTAAAAAATAATTAAAGCAAACACAATGTACAAAATGATTTATAAATTAATGTTTAGTTAGAAAATTAAATATAATTCAAGAGAAGTAGGAAGATTGCAATTGAATAAAGTTCTAGGTAATTTGTGAGCGAGGTTGCCCTATTTTCAAAAGTTCATAACGCAACTTTTAGCAGAAACTTGTAAAAACAAACCTCCAATATACTCTTGGGCTCCGGCAGCTCTGATCCGTTGAAGACGTTCATGTAGGCCTTGAAGTAGAGCAGCAGGTCCTTGGCCTTCACCTTCTGGCCGCCGATCAGCTTCGGCACCAGGTTCTGGGGCGTCAGTAACATGTCTACCAGCTGCTTCAGGTAAGTCTTGAACTCTGGGCTTATGTCTGAAAATTGAGTTTAAAGCGTTTGAAGAATTTTGACGATTCAAAGTTCGAGGATAAATTTCTAGCACAAAGTGTGATGAGCACAAACATTTTTGTTGCCGAGACACGGTTATATACCTATATATATATATATATTTATTTATGTAAATTCTACTTGGATGTATGTTAAATGGAGTGGATTGTTAGAAACGCCATTCAGTAAGAATTAAGTTGCTCCTGGACGTCTTCTTGTTTTAATACGATTTCCGTTGATAACACAAGCTGAATGAAAGAGAGTGATGATTAGTATCGCCCTTATATGTGACAGAATCAGAAATGAGAAAATCTGCTGGCTATTTAGGGACCGACATCGCACGACGGATTTGGTACTTATTTGAATTGGCAACAGTACCGGCCAGGCTGCCGTTGAAGCGCGGGTCGGTGACGACGGTGAGGGAGGGGGGGGGGGAGGGGGTATACAGTACCGGCCAGGCTGCCGTTGAAGCGCGGGTCGGTGGCGACGGTGAGGGAGGGGGGGGGGGGGTATACAGTACCGGCCAGGCTGCCGCAGAAGCGCGGATCGGTGGGGGGGGGGGGGATACAATACCGGCCAGGCTGCCGTTGAAGCGCGGGTCGGTGGCGACGGTGAGGGGGGGGGGGGGGGGGTACAGTACCGGCCAGGCTGCCGTTGAAGCGCGGGTCGGTGGCGACGGTGAGGGGGGGGGGGGGGGGGTACAGTACCGGCCAGGCTGCCGTTGAAGCGCGGGTCGGTGGCGACGGTGAGGGGGGGGGGGTACAGTACCGGCCAGGCTGCCGTTGAAGCGCGGGTCGGTGGCGACGGTGAGGGGGGGGGGGGGGGGGGGTACAGTACCGGCCAGGCTGCCGTTGAAGCGCGGGTCGGTGGCGACGGTGAGGGGGGGGGGGGGTACAGTACCGGCCAGGCTGCCGTTGAAGCGCGGGTCGGTGGCGACGGTGAGGGGGGGGGGGGGTACAGTACCGGCCAGGCTGCCGTTGAAGCGCGGGTCGGTGGCGACGGTGAGGGGGGGGGGGGTACAGTACCGGCCAGGCTGCCGTTGAAGCGCGGGTCGGTGGCGACGGTGAGGGGGGGGGGTACAGTACCGGCCAGGCTGCCGTTGAAGCGCGGGTCGGTGGCGACGGTGAGGGGGGGGGGGGGGTACAGTACCGGCCAGGCTGCCGTTGAAGCGCGGGTCGGTGGCGACGGTGAGGGGGGGGGGGGTACAGTACCGGCCAGGCTGCCGTTGAAGCGCGGGTCGGTGGCGACGGTGAGGGGGGGGGGGGTACAGTACCGGCCAGGCTGCCGTTGAAGCGCGGGTCGGTGGCGACGGTGAGGGGGGGGGGGTACAGTACCGGCCAGGCTGCCGTTGAAGCGCGGGTCGGTGGCGACGGTGAGGGGGGGGGGGTACAGTACCGGCCAGGCTGCCGTTGAAGCGCGGGTCGGTGGCGACGGTGAGGGGGGGGGGGGTACAGTACCGGCCAGGCTGCCGTTGAAGCGCGGGTCGGTGGCGACGGTGAGGGGGGGGGGGGTACAGTACCGGCCAGGCTGCCGTTGAAGCGCGGGTCGGTGGCGACGGTGAGGGGGGGGGGATACAGTACCGGCCAGGCTGCCGTTGAAGCGCGGGTCGGTGGCGACGGTGAGGCCGGGGTGCGGCAGCAGGAAGCACGCCAGCTCCTGGAAGCACGCGGCCACGTGGCGGCGCAGCGCTTGCAGTTCCGCGTGCTGACCCTCTTGCACCTACCACGATTACAATACATTTGATAAATATTTTTTCTAACCAAAAATAATTCAACTCAACTAAGGGGTCGAACCATCGCCTTTCGCAATCCGTGCGAATGCAATGCAATAACATGATTCGAATCAAATTCACGTCGAAGAACAATTTTCAAAAAACTATTGAAGACTCACTGCATCAGACTATTTATCAGTCAATCAGAATAACGGTTAACCCAGATAAAGCCCAATTATGCTTTTGGGAATAATCCCCTCCTGACTTTGTTCAATCTAAGGAGTACATTTCGGCTTCCACGTCTAAAGGGACGACGGAGAAAATATAGGCGCATTGCAACACAACAGGAACCATATTATATAATGCCCAGATTAAATTTATTTACCTCAAGTCGTTTCACCAGCAGCTGCTGTCCACCCTCGGCTCCGTACGGGTGCTCGTAGGGGAAGCTCCAGTCACGCACGAGCAGCTGCAGCCGCTGGAACGGCTTGCCGCTGATGCTCTGCTGTGCCAGGCGCCCGTACTCCGTGAATAACTGGAAACAACCAATCAACCAATGTTTAGAAGCTGCCAACAACGACGACAAGTCTACCTTATCAATACTCGTCTTGTAACCCCGCCACCGTGAAATAACACTATCCTTTGATGATGTTGTGTTACCCGGTCCGCGCACAAGCTCCCAAATGGCTGCAATTTGTATCCTAGGTTTTTTTTTTATATTAAGGTATGGTGGTGGACAGCATTGAGGTTAGAGTGGAGTCCGCGGATATTACAGAACTCAACTTCAAACAGCGCGGAAGGTGTGGGGGTGTGCACCGCTGTACAACCAAATTTCGTTTTACGGGCTGCCATCATGCGAAAAAAATGAGAGACGTGAATCGAGTGGAATTAGTCGCGACAAAGTCAGGTAAATATGTGGAAGCACGTTTTCCCGAGTAGCTGTCTAAGAATGAGATACGCCGACCCACCGGACGGAAGGGCCCCCGCACCCCCCCGGAAGCGGCCGCCGGGACCCCACGCCCCGGTCACCAACCGGCACGATAGGGCAGGGCAGCCTCGCGAACTGGTTAGGAACGCTCGGGCCCGTGGCACAGTACAACACGGGCGGCCAGCGGGACAGCCGTTTCTACGGGTCTCCCTGGCCGGCGGGTCGATGCAGACCTTCCGGCATCGGTTCGACGGATGCCTCCACTAGACCGAATCCGTCGCGGTAATCTCCACTCGAGCTCTGGTTGTACGCTGGCTGATCCCGAAACGCGCGTAAAGCACTTCACGGGTTTTTCACCATGCGTACGGTGGTAACAAACCAGGCGGGTGTTAGGCACCCTACCACCAGAAGAGCGGATGGAAGCTCCGATATCCCTTAGTCGCTTCTTACGACACCCGCGGGAAGTGATGGGGCGGTGAGTGGTATTCTTTCTCCGTCACCGCACGGAAATATTTTTACTGCATTACATTTGTCTTTATTGCGCCCCCGTCATATTAGATTTTTTCTCACGCTCTTACTGGTCGACTGGTAGAGAATTTCCTATGGCATTATGTCCGCCATTTGCTTTGTAATTTTGCAATAAAGTTTAAATAAATAAATCCGATCCGTGACCATCAAACAAAAATCAATGGTTCTCACCAACTAGTAGGTAACATTTTTTCACTTGTTCTAACATGTACCTACCCCGCTGCCAAGCCTGTACCTATCCATTTATTTCGCGTCAAACTCACAGGCGAATATATTATTATCGGGGAATGCAAATCTTAAGTGGTCTGGGCAAAAACTTGACCCGCCATAGATTCTGATAGTAAATACTGGCACGATAAGGAAAAATTTAGCCCATCCGTGTGTTATTAGAGGATGCTATCAGGTTAGATAACACACGAGTGACTCTATAGCAATGATATTAAATACCCTCGATATATCACGTGCGCTGAATATATGTCCCGATCAAGAATACAAAGTCCCTAGTTCCTCTTAAATCACCAAACGGAAGTCATAGGGGCCCCACTATCCTAATATGCTCAGGGCCTCCAATAGGTCAAAGACGGCACTGCTCCTAACTGAAGATGTGAAGGTAGCTGGTGCATCAGATACACGTTTGTATCGTTATAGCACCTTTCCTTCATTATGATACAAAGCTCCAATGTGCTTTTCGCTACTGAACCAACCCCTAAAATGAAAAATGGGCACTAAATGAATAACAATATCCGCCATTAAGAAGAAGAACCGAAAGATTTGATCTTCTCCTATCTTGTTAAATTAGATGCTACGGTTTATAAAGAACACGATCCAGACATCCCTAAAATAAAGTCAAGTCAACTAGTATAAAAGTAAACCTACCTGAAGATGCTGCAGGTCGTCTTCCTCTATGTTCTGCGAGAGATTGTAGATCTGCACGGAGGATATCATGGTGGAGAGTGCGAACACTGTGGCGTTGTCGCGCACCGTCGACTCGCTGTCGAACGTACCCTGCGTGTCCATCAGCAGAATCACCACCTAAATGCAAGAGTAGGCAGTAGCTATATATAATTGAAGTTATATGTTTGTTATATTGTGCCTTAGATATGATTGGTGGACACACAAGTTTGCTGGTTTTCTGGCCAAGTGAAAAGTATCATAAATGATTTAATTTTTCCAGCTGGAGGTCGATGCAAATGATTAATAACTCATTTGCCTATTAGTAGGTTATAGTTGCGGTTTCAAAATTTTCGACCTATTATAATTTCCAAATCGTTAGTCGATTAAGGAACTGAATTGCGCAATGTAGTTGCAAAGTAAGAAGCTTGCTCAATGGCTTGTCATTGAGTACGTGACAAAGTTTTTATAATTTTTGAGATTTTTCATGCTTCAGAAAGTACCTACAGTATGAACCGAGAGGTCCCGGTTGCGCCTGTAGTCGAATGATCCAAACTCCGCGTTGGTTATGGTCCTACATATCGTTAGCACCCATCCCTATTCCATTTATGTATATGGAAGGCCTGTGCTTCTACATTGGGGACACCACACGGGTTATGATGGTCAAGATGTGAAACATACCTTCTCGCCGCTAGGTAGTATTGCATGGAAGGGCTGCGACCACATGAGCAAGCCGGTGGTGTCGCGCTCGGAGCCGCCGCGCCAGCTAAACCCCTCCAGCGGCTCGGCCTCCGAGCCCATCCAATCACCGCCAGCATCGCCAAGGTTATACTGCAGGAATCACAATTTAACAAACATGACACTCTTTATAATAGACCCGATTTGCGCTCTATACAAATGTCCTCGCACGGTCATGTAATGGGAATAAGTAGGTGATGAACATATATGTTAAAAGACCTACAGGTACAGCAGGGAGAAGACCAAAGAAGCTACAAACAAAGACTGTGTAAAAGGACAAAGAAAGCCGTGAATGTCTATGTTTCACTTTCCAATATAATTCAAACAATGGGAGTTCATCAACATACCTTATGATTCAAATATCTGAGGAAGAAGTCCAGCAGGAAGGACTTGCCCTTGCGGAAGGCACCCGCGACGGAGATGACCACGACGCTGCAATCGCGCACGTCTTCCCTGAGCAGCAGCTCGCTCAGAGCAGCCTCGTCCAGCTTGAACTTGTGCTCCTCGGGCACTGCCACCTGGATGCCGCGACCGGCTCTCAGGCTGCTCGTTTTACCTAGTCATACGTCATCATCATTAGCCTATTAACATGGATTCAGCTGGTTCCCACCAGCACACACAGGCTCTTTTCTTCTATTATGTGAGCCTTCCCTATAGACGTGTTGATTTAATAAAATAAATTATAATTTCTTACTCACACGCTTTTTTTAACCATCTCAAAAGTGAGCACGATTAGGCTTGTGTTTTTGGTTACTGGAGTAACGAAAAGCGCGATTGCCGGTCGCTCGAGCCATATGACAAAGCCAGCCACAAAAGGAATGCGAAAATGAAAATATGTGAAGTGAGAGTTTCAACCAAAGGGCGCCCGTCAAAAATCTTGTGCCAATCTGATCAAAGGCGCGGTGCTGATACTATGTAAGTAAACAAGTCCGTCCGTCTGTCTGTCTGTGGTGCTGTTTCAGCGGCCAAACCGTAAGAGATAGATAAAGAGAATATTTAAGTTATAAGTTAAGAATAGTCTGATAAGACTACAAACCGGATTTGAGTAACGTAGCACTTCCGGTTTTCGAGAAATCAGGTTTTGGTGAACATTTGGTTCACTGGTTTGCTAGTTATTTTATAATTTAGCTTTATTCGATCTTTCAGCATTTATATATCATCATTTATTACAATTCCTTTAGAACCGAAACTATTACGACTAGTAAGGTGTATGTTAGTGAATAAGTCATTATTTATAGATTAATTAGTACATAATAAAACTTATCATTATGAAGGGAGGAAAAGCGAGCAATTACGCTTATTAAAGCACCTTGGACGAATCGCCCAACAACACAATAACAGCAATAATATACCAATCAACTACAATGACTACGGTAGAAATTGTAGAAACATTAAAAATGTAAAAATAATAATTGGACCTTCATTGCGTTGATCGCAGTTCATTGTGATCTTGCTTGAATTTCAATTTCCATCACAAAAATGTTAAATAAGAAACATAGGTATCTACTATCATCGATTTTTTAACATACTAACTTTAACACTCGTTATGAGCTATGGAGCATTGCATTTGTAATGGAAAATGTTAACAGACAGTTTAGATACTAGTTATATACAGGGCGTCCCACGGTTACCTCACACGGAGGGAAAGTATATTAAATATTGAAGATAGGATATTTTACTGCAAGAAGACATCATTTTATTTTGAATAATAACTAGAACTGCATTCACAGATTTTTTTAAAATCGCCTGCTACAACTGGGAATCAAACTCGTGAAATTTCGAATAATAAAATACAACATATTTTATGATAACCATCGAAAGGGTTAATCATAAGGATTGTTTTTTGCTAAATAACATAGCATTTTAATAAAATAAAAAAATGGATGCGTGTAACTTATGTACGCGCGTGAGAAGTTATACTTCTTTAGCATCATTAAAAATATTTTTTAGACACTAACATTCATAACGCGCCCGCGGCCAACTTCATGGTGTTACTATTGTGTTACAGTGATGCGCGCGCATCTCGAAATTTCACTCACATGATTTTTTCATAACGCGCCCGCGGCCAACTTCATGCTGTTACTTTTGGGTTACAGTGATGCGCGCGCATCTAAAAATTTCACTCTCATCATTTTTTCATAACGCGCCTAAAGAAGTATAACTTCAAAAAAGTCAAACCCATAACTTTAACACGAGATTTAAGAATAAGCTTGCCGTTCCATGTTTCAGACTCCAAAAATCAAGAGGTTCATTTCTGGGTTGTAGTATTGCATTGTTTAACAAAGTTCCCCAAGATCTGATTGAGGTTCCACTGACTAAATTTAAATCTCAGATCAAAAATAACCTTATGAATAAGGGCTATTATAAAGTTGATGATTATCTAAATGATCGTAATGCATGGACATAGTGTTTCTTATAATTTGATATTAAATGGGTATTAGTCATTTTTCATAACAGTAATATTGTACCTATCTAATGCCGCTTCCTATATACTACTTAAAATGTTAACTATAAAATTAATTGTAACTATATATTTATATTCTAGATGATGTAATGAAAAGTGACTTCAGACGTATTTCTGAAGTAATTTTTCAACTTGACGACATTCACTGTATATAACAATACAGGAAGAAAAGAACAGCCCTTGCTGAGTTTCTTGTCGGTTCTTCTCAGTACAAGGTCTCCCGCCGTAGTTTTGCGAACCGATGGCGTAGCTTCTTGACCTTCACAAGTGCTTGTAACAGCCTAGACTGAATAAATGACATTTCATTTCATTTCATTTCATTTCATTTCATTTCATTTCATTTCATTTCATTTCATTTCATTTCATTTCATTTCATTTCATTTCATTTCATTTAATTTCATTTCATTTCATTTCATTTCATTTCATTTCATTTCATTTCATTTCATTTCATTTCATTTCATTTCATTTCATTTCATTTCATTTCATTTCATTTCATTTCATTTCATTTCATTTCATTACATTTCATTTCATTTCATTTCAATGTCCCGTTCAAATCTGCCCTGTTTGCTTTGTTCAAATCTGCCCCACGGTCACTTGGAAAATAAAATATTACAAATAACGCGCCCGCGGCTAACTTCATTATGTTACTTTTGTGTGTTACAGTGATGCGCGCGCATCTTAAAATTTCACTCTCATAATTTTTTCATAACGCGGCTAAAGAAGTATAACTTCAAAAAAATAATAAAGTGAATAAAAACTGTAGTACGTATGCATTTCTTTTTGAACTCACAATTACAATGGGATTGGGTGAAATATATAAAAATACTAATTCAAAAATTGAACACATTTTTCAAGTCTGTTCTTTTGTTTTTTGTGGGTTTCATTTTCGGTTATTTGCATTTTTTTTGTTAATTTAATTACCATGCCGTAGCAAAATAAAATGGATTTAATGGAAGCTTATTTTATGAACCACAAAGAAATATGAATTTTGCGGTGGTTCCACGAAAGATACCCTGATAGAGACGTACCTTACTAAATACTACAAAATTTAATAACTTTTCTTTCACTAAAATGCTATGTTATGTAACAAAAAATAATCCTTATGATCAACCCTTTCGATGGTTATCACAAAATATGTCTTTTTCTTCGAAATTTTACGAATTCGATTCCCTTCTTTGTATCAAGCGATTTTAAAAAATCTGTGAATGCAGTTCTAGTTATTATTCATCAAAAATGATGTCTTCTTTCAATAAAATATCCTATGTTCAATATCTTTATATATATAATTCTTCTGTGAGTGTGTATGTCACCGAACTTCTCTTAAACGACTGGACCGATTTTGATGAAATTTTTTGTGTGTGTTCAAGGGGATCTGAGAATGGTTTAGATTCACAAAGACGTGTAGACAGGACAACGTCTGTCGGGTCCGCTAGTATAATATATAATATACTTTCCCTCCGTGTAAGGTAGCCGTGGGACGCCCTGTATATAAGAATTGAACCCGGGGCCCGAGGGATTGCGTGATAGACGTCGGTTCGCATGATCCACAGTTTTTAACTCCCATTTAAGTGACAAGTAAAGAATAATGACGCGTATTCGGATGCACGAAAGACATTACTCGAATTCGGGCACCCGAAACAATATTTACACTGGAATACAGGCTGGAAGACGGTGTCGGGTAAACAAAAGGAAATCTACCCGAATATGGGCGTAATCGACCCCGTTTATTTACATTTTTACAAGTTTACCCGAATTCCATTAGCACTCGTATTCGGGCTAAAGAGCAAGTGTAATCGCGCCATAATAATAAAACAGCCAAGTGCGAGTCGGATTTGCACGCATGAACGGTTCCCTACTATTTGTATAAGATTAACAATACGAGTAGGTCGAGCAAAAAAGTTCAATAAAAGTTCAAATAATTGATTGATAGGATAGAATTGATTACCTTGAATTGTTTCTTAGGTTTTCACGCACATCACTCATTAAATAAAACTAGTTTTTACGGGTTAATGCACGAAACTTTATTTATTTATTGACGTTTCGCAGCCTTTTCAGGTCTGCATCGCCAGAATTATTATATATATATAATAAATAAAGTTTCGTGCATTAACCCGTAAAAACTAGTTTTATTTACCTTGAATTGTTTTATAAAAAGTAAAAGGAAGAATAATTAAAATTAAAATTGATATTAATAAAGCAATTACACCCCCAAGTTTATTTGGGATTGAGCGTAAAATTGCGTATGCAAATAAAAAATATGATTCAGGTTGAATATGGATAGGGGTTACTAATGGATTAGCTGGAATGAAATTATCTGGATCTCCTAATAAGTAGGGGTTCAAGTTTTCTGTCTGAGAGCACAATTTAATTTTATATTTATTTGTCTTATTACGCCGCTGTAGCACATCAATTAGAACTATATCGTAATCTGAAGTTCATGAGAGACGGACGAGCAGTCGAAACAATTAAAAAGGGTTCCGTTGTCACGCTTTGGGTACGGAACTCAAAAAATGTGTTCAAACTTACGAGCGTTATCAAATAAATAATAGCTGAGTACTTCGTGTATTTACTGCCTTCACCAAGGTCGTTAAATGCTTAACTAACTATTAAAAGTTATGACACATACTTTGTTTGTGCGCTTAAACTGCTAAGCCTACCTTTACCAGCATAGCAGATAAATTTTACAAATCAACACAGAAACGAGTTTCACAACACAACACAAACTTGAATCACCAATACATTAAAACATTTGACACGAATCTATATATAGACAGACAGTTTAATAAACAACATTTTGAAAATCGCGCGCGTTACACCCTGAGTTTGTAAATAGCACAACAAACTTTTGATTTACTCACTCATTTTGTTAAAGGGCGCTCGCTATCTCTACGATCCGTTGATTTGTTTTGTTTCACTTCGCTTTTCATGTATAGATATTGTGTGTTCTGCCGAGTGCGTCCGTCTAGCGCTGCGGTCCACCGACTAATGATGAGTGAGGTCATAGTGATGTCATAGCCGGCCCGTCTCCACACCACAGGCACACAGGCGCGGTGATGTCATATAACTCCTTAAGTATACCAAGATCAATGCTGTAGTGAGTTTGCTGAGATTAATAGGTTGTCAATAACGCGTGCCTTGTGAGAAAACCTCCTAATATATCCTTTTATGTCTAGACGGGTTCTTGAAGATTTGTCTAACGTTTTTCACTAAATGTAAATATTTTGTGTGTGTGATCTTAGATCCAGTACTTAATGGAAAGTGGTAAAACGCCACTCATTTGCTATGTTTACTTACTCGCTTGATCTTTACTTCAAAAGTTCTGGCTATTTAAACCAAAGTATTGTCTTTTGTGAAGTGGAGCATTTTGTCTCAGACTCAGGTAGATGCTCTAAGGTGAGAGGTAAATTCACCAATGATGTATTCTCATAACGATGTGTATTTAACAAATATAAAAAGGTTCGAACAAATGACGCTACCCCGTGGTGGTGGAGTACACACGTGAAGCTGATGCAACAGTTTTGCCTATATATCACACCAATCATCATTGGCAGACTGAAAGTAGCTCCTTGCATTCCATTTGCAGATTGTGCAATAAAGTTTTATGAGTTACCAACGGGATTAGAATCAAGGTGGGAAGAGTGAAGGTTCCTAGTAATATTCTTGTCACTTAACATATGTAATTGTAACCAGATTGGGGTAGTATTAGCCAGGTCTATGGCCATCTTCTTTCCCCTAATCCAGGGGATCCTTTTCCCAATACTTCAATCAAAAATCAACAAGACCGCAAGTAATTATTCCTGGATATCGACAGCTCAGGATCTTCGGGAGATCTATGCACTGCCGGATTTAGGGGAGGGCAACCGGGGCGAAAGCCCCGGGGCCTTCACAAACGGGTGGCCCCACAATAGAGACTTCGGAAAAAAAATCTTTCAAATTCCAACTTGTAAACACTAGTAAACATCTTTTCCTTTGATATATTTTTCTTACTCTTTTACCTTTACCCAGGGCCGAATTTAAGGCAGGACAGGTGGGGCTGCGGCCCAGGGGCCTCCACAACAGCTTAAGAAATAACAACATTTCGATGGGTCAATAAGCATACAAATCCTAAATGGCCCGGGGCCTCCACAATCCTAAATCCGGCCCTGGATCTATGCTCAGCAGTGGTATGATTGAATAACCAATTATTGATAGGTAATCGATCCGAAATTCTCAAAGCTACATTATATGCAAAAAAAATTCAACTTTCACAGAGATCTGAAGAAATGGAAACGCGCTATACGCAAACACAGTATGTACATACATACATACATACATAAATAACCATATTTACCTGATATGCGCGCGCGCAGGTATCCGCTTTCGTTTGCGCCTGCGCGTCGCGCTGCGATCACGTTGATACCCACCGGATTGCGGCCACACGTTCCGTCCGATGCATCAGTGGAACTGATTTGTTATTGTTCCAACTTGTAACATTTCAAACGCGATAAAGAAGTAACGTTCACACACAACAATATACTGACTGACAGAATAACATTAACTTGCTTGTTGCTGTAACTTTTGAACTGCGGCTGTTAAACTTAGAAAAACAATACAGGGCAAATTAGTATCTATTACCGAGTGAGTAGTTTGACCTTTCGCTACCTGCTGCTATTTACGTATAATTTTATTGTGTGTTTTTTAAATAAAACTGACTGTGCCCCGCGGTGTTACCCGCGGTTTATTAGGGATATTTTCCCGCAGTAAAACGTAGCCCATGTGTTAATCTAGGGTGTCAGCGAAATCCATACCCAATTTTATTATCATCATCAGCAGCCTATTAATGTCCCCACTGCCGGGGCACAGGCCTTCCCTTTGGATGGAATAAGGAGATTGGGCCATGACCCACCACGCGGGCCCAGTGCGGATTGGTGGGCGCTAACGACTGCAGATGCAGCCGGGACCAACGGCTGAACGTGCCTTCCGAAGCACGGAGGAACTCGAGATATTAAATTTTTGTTCACCCATCCAATGACCGACCACTGCGAAAGTTGCTTAACTTTAACGATCGCAGCCGAACGCGCTAACCACTTGCGCCATCGAGCTCCTCGCCTCTCCTCGAATTTTATTATAGTCGAATGAATGTTGAATGTTTTTTTTTTTCTTTATTTTGTTTTTTTCCACCTATCATACTTCGAACTTGACAATAGTACAGTCATTTGGTGAGAAATATAGTGGTTACCCGGAAAGTTTTGAGTTTTGAAAATCGGTAATTTTATAAAATTTTGAGGCGCTCTTTCTGAATTTCGAGTTTGCCACCTCGTATTTTTGCCGCTCGCGCCGTCATATTGGAAAAATGGCGCCTAAAAGCAGTCTTTTGACAATATCTCCTTTCCAACTCATTTTACGATAAAAACAGTTAATACAAAATGAAACTAGAGACAATTGCCTACAATTTATGTATTTATCTTTTTTTTCATAAAGTCAATAATTTTGGCGAACGAGCGCCGTAAAGTGTACCCTTCCAGGGTCAAGATTATATTACAAGGGTATTATTACCGATCAGAAACGAAAATCTATTTAATGTTTCAATCTTGACCCCGCCCGACTTCCAAATCATGAACCAGATATTATTTTTACTGTTTAGTTCCATTTTCGAATTTGAAATCGGTTTTATTTATTTTTTGAAGTTATACTTCTTTAGGCGCGTTATGAAAAAATGATGAGAGTGAAATTTTAAGATGCGCGCGCATCACTGTAACACAAAATTTTAACAGCATGAAGTTGGTCGCTTTAGCGACAATTCATGCTGTTACTTTTGTGTTTACCGCACATTAAGAAAATCTACCAACAAAATAGAAATAGAATCTCTAATTTAGTGGGTGCTAACGACTGCATTGTGAAGGCCTATCAAAAGTATTTATTAATCTGGAACAACGGAACCAAAGCGCGATTCAGGAGACTACAGCGCCATCTCTGGACCATTGGTGTAGTAGAACCAAAAACCACATCTTTATTTTTTGTAATAAAGTAACAGTTATAGGTATTCATATTTATAATATTTATCCACATGTTTCTAGTTTGTATATTCGGAATACGTGTTTGAGTTTCATACAAGTGCAAATCACATATGTTCTAAGAAATTATATTCAGTAGCGATTTTAATTGAATATTTTGATTATTAATTTATTTTTTCAAATTAAAACTGAGGTTTATTGACTGTGTCCTTTTCCAGACTTTTTATTAATTTATTGTAATTAATTATTTGCATGCAATTAAAAACTAATTTTAAACGATGCCGAAGAAGGATAACTTCTCACGCGCCTACATAAGTACACGCACCCATTTTTATTTCAGCCATTTTAGTGAAAAAGAACTTAAAAGACTTGTTATTGTTTTAAAAAAGTTGTTGTTTTTAAATATTTTTTTAAATCTTTGAATAGGATATTGCAATGTAAAATTTACATTCACTGATATGTATAATATAAATGTTTAATTAATTGCATTGTGTGTAAATTAATTTGTTATTCAATACACTGCGACCATTGCCTTAGGTGACATTTACAACTACTACACTACAATTTGAGTAATTCCTAATTACAGCTGTTTAGACTATATATGCCTGCACTCCCGCTTAACGCAGCACAGGCTCTTATACAAAACTATATAAAAATACTCAATTAATTTTCAACTTGGTGATGGTTAAATTTAGTGATACAAAAACATTAATAAATAACATAATAAAATTATTAGTTTTTTTTTGTCATAACATGTGCATACTTTCATCCATACTAATATTATAAATGCCAAAGTTTGTTTGTCTGTTACCTCTTCACGTTTAAACCTCTGAACCGGTTTAGATGCAATTTGGTATAAAAGATACTTTGAGTCCCGGGAAACGATATAATGATAGTTTTTATCCTAGAAATCATCCTTTAGAGGGGTGAAAAGAGAAGAGGAAATTTGTAAGAGAAATTATTTGCTACGCTTTCAAACCTACACCGTCGAGTCGATTACCATTAATTTTGACATAAACATAGCAAAGACTCTAGAAACAGTTATGGTTCTAGGCTACTTTGTAAATGAGATTGAAATTGGGGAAGAAAAGTTTGTTTATAAAACCAATGTTAATTTGAAAAACTACTAGTTTAAAAAATAACACTGGCGGATAACACAACAAAGTTTTAATAACAATCTGGGTTTTATAAGTTATTTACGGGAGTGTTACCATGTACCTTGTTTTTAGCGAGTTTCCGATATTTCGGCACTGTTGCAAGCGCCATGATCATGGAGTAACTGAAGTAATTGCGGGTAGGCTGTTATTGGCAGACATATCGGTGTACCCTCTGACGAAGTCTTTTATTGCGTTCGATACCCGTACATTATATTACATATTCACATTCTCACTATTCACTCGAAACTGTTCTCGACACACAACACTTACAGTATCGGATCGCGACACGACGCTTTTTTGATTATTTCCGGTTTTACACATACGAACCACAGGATTCCAGACACTCGACAATTTAAACCCGTCCTCACGATTGAAATTTTTATGTTTTGTTATTTCAATCGCTTCCCTGACCAATCTTGGTATGTAGTGGCGTTCTGTCGAGATAATCTGTGGGTTATGAAACTCAATCCAGTGGTTAGGACCAGAATCAATCAAATGTTCCGCGATGGCTGATTTCTGCGTATCATTGTTCTTGATTGCTTTTATGTGTTCCCTCATTCGGCATGATACTGTTCGCTTTGTTTGGCCAATGTACGAACTGCCACAGCTGCAATCGATCTTATAGACACCAGGTTTCTCCAAGGGGAAGTTGTCTTTAGGAGACCGTAGGTATTGTGAAACCTTTCGCACAGGAGTGAAGACAGTATTTAGTGAGTACTTATTCAGTATGTTTGAGATCTTGTCAGTCACTCCTCGGAAACTCGCTAAAAACAAGGTACATGGTAACAATCCCGTAAATAACTTATATTACTATAATGTTAGTGACCATGAAAGTTTAAAACAATATAATCTGGGTTTTATTTCTAAACAAGGCGGGTTTTTGTACCTAATGCTCTCAGGTGGCCAGTAGTTTGATGCCGACCTCGCCCGCCTTATTATACTTATATAAGTAAGTAATACCTACTATACTTCCCTCAGCAGGTCGGGCGCCCTTTCATGGGTCACTCGTCTCTAATGACGGCCACTGCCACCGCCCCTGGTATTCCACCACGAACAGTTGTGATATATAAAACTAGTTTTTTACGGGTTAAGGCACGAAACTTTATTTATTTATTGACGTTTCGTAGCCTTTAAAGGCTACGTCGTCGGAATGAAATTTTTATTCAATTTTGTCGAGCTACCTTAATAAAGTTTCGTGCATTAACCCGTAAAAAACTAGTTTTATTTAATGAGTGATGTACGTGAAAACATAAGAAACAAACAGTTGTGATATGTAAAAGTGATTGATATACTCTATGGCACAAGCAAGATGGCGGACAGACGCTTATTGTACAACAGTTAGAAGTTTATTAAAAGTGGAATACGATAGCAAAACAGTCTTACTTTATTAAAGTGTTCCTTAATCAGATTACACAACATAACACACCATTCCAGTGAAATTGTTAGTTAGTTTTTTGCGTTTTCATACTTAAGCCGCTATGTCTCTTTTAATGACTTTTGGCATAGGCATACAAGAGACTATGGAACAGTTACAGGCTAAGTTTTCTCGCGGTAATATTATTTAAAGGAGGTGAAATTTGTATGTGAAAAAAAATCCTATGCGGGGGTGCCCGCCCGATGCTTGTATTGAATAAAAGAAACTTGTGGCCAAAACAAAGGCTTTAATAACAGATGTTGGGTTTATTTATATACAACTAGCTGAACCAGCGAACTTCGTACCGCCATAAAAATAAGGGCAGGTGGTAGAAGAGAAAATTAAGGGTTGTATGTAGTGTTAACTCCAGGAAATAATAATCCCAATCTTGATTCGTTTACAGGCATTTAATCTTCAATAAAGATAATTACAGATTTGCTAATATTAATAAGTATAATGTGTATGCAATCAAAGGAAGCGAGTACAATTTTCTGCGTCTTGTCTTCTCTCAAGCCGTTATAATAAAAAAACGATTGTTGCCGACAACGCCCGTCGGCCGCCGTCGTGATCATTCGGTAGTGTTCGGCGGTTCGCGTATTTCCCGCGCGTAGTTCAAGCGCGAACATCCTCCCCCGTTGAAGAAGAATTCTTCAACTCTTCAGTGCTGGACTCGTCAAAATGAAGAGGACAAAGTCGACTCAAAGCTTTTCGAATTACTCCATTGCTAGTACAAATGTCCGCGACTCGAGGAATTCCATCTTTACCAGGAAACAAAGCTTGGATTCTCCCCATTCTCCACTTTAATGGTGGCAAGTTGTCTTCTTTAATAATAACCAAATCTCCTTGTTTCAAACTGTAATATTGCTGCTTCCATTTAATACGATGCTGTAGTTCTGCTATATATTCGTTATGCCAGCGTGACCAATAGTGTTGTCTCATTTGTTCCAACTGATTATAGCGATCCAATCTGCTGATCTTTGCGTCTATCAACTGCGGCGATGGAAGTGCTGTCATTGGCCGTCCGATGAGAAAATGCCCAGGTGTGAGAGGACAAAGGTCACTGGGATTGGAGGACATGGGACAGATAGGACGAGAGTTAAGGATAGATTCTATTTGAGCGAATAACGTCGTAAGCTCTTCAAAAGTTAAATGTCTATCGCCTAAAATTCTTTTTAAATGAAATTTGGCCGACTTTACACCGGCCTCCCATAGTCCGCCAAAATTTGGTGCATACGCTGGTGAGAAATGAAATTTGATTCCTTCATCGGAACCAATCCGAGTTAAATCATTTTTATTATGCAAAATTAACCTATCCAATTCATTCTTAGTTCCCACAAAATTAGTACCGTTATCGCAAAATATATTCTTTGGTTTACCACGTCGTGCAATAAATCTTTTTAAGCTCAAAATAAACGCATCTTTACTTAAATCGCTTACCGCTTCCAGATGAAGAGCCTTGGTCGCAAAACAGACAAAAATACATAAATAACATTTGCTTATTTTGCAACCACGACCCTTTCTATCAGTTATATAAAAGGGACCTGCGAAATCAACGCCTGTTGTTTCAAACGGTATTCCCGGAGTGAGACGTTGGTTTGGCAGATTACCCATTAAAGGCTGCAGTGTCTTTGCTCGAAAACGTTTACAGATTCCACATTTGTGAGGTATACTTCTGGCAAGGTTTCTACCGTTAGTGACCCAAAACTGCTCACGTACCGCGGCTAATAGCAATTGAGGGCCCGCATGCATAAGACGCCTATGTTCATGTTCAAAAATAAGGACTGATAAGCGATGCTTTACGTCAAGAAGCATGGGATGCTTTTTATCGTAGCTAAATTTCGAATTATCTATTCTACCACCAACTCTAATCATACCTACTTCATCCAAAAATGGGTTCAGAGACAAAATCTTAGATTTGGGGTCTAAAAACTGTTTTTTCTTCAGTGCCTGTATTTCTTTCCGGAATGACTCTGACTGAGCTAATTTTACTAAAGCATCTATACTGTTTTGTAATTCCTCTGTAGTTAAATATGACGATGTAATTTTTACTTGCGATTTTTGACAATTATTTATGAATCGTAATATATAGCCCATTACTCTCTTTAAGGTATTCAAATTAGAATATTTATTAAATATTTGAGATAATTCATTATCTACTACAGTTTGCAAGATAATAATTTTTTCATCATAGTTATGACATCTCTGCGAATT